GGGGGGGGGGGGGGGGGGGGGGGGGGGGGGAGACCCCGGGCCAATCAGGGGAATTGTAGAATGGGTGCAACAAAGTCGAGAATTTCCTCCTGGAGATGGGGGGTTTAACAAGACAAAGACCCTTGGGTCAAGTGGGTAAGTGCGAAAATCCCCTTGATATCTACAGTCAAACCTCCACTAACGTCCACCTCACTCGTTTGACGGCCACTTTGTGCCGGCGGACAGTCCAAACAATGACTCTTGTTTTAACTTCTCTACAACGGCAACGACCACAAAAGCGCATTCGCAATAACCAAAATCACATCTCCACAAGGCCAAAATTTTCAGCGACTGACGAAAAACTCAAGAATGCGGGGAAATTTGATCCATATGGCTCCTTGGTGATTAACCCTATGGTGAAGGCAGGCGAATACCGATAAAATGCATTTTTCACCAATTCCTCTTTATTGGACTGATTTGCGGCTAAAGCATAAGAATGGCTATAAATGAGTTTTGCAACGAAAAAGGGTATTTTCCCTCTAATCGGAGGTAATTAAGCAGCTTTTTTGTTTTTTGCGCATCTATTTCGATCTTTCTCTCTTGCTCTCATTTTTCTTTTGCCTTTCACCGGCTTTATAAGCAGTTTTTTGCCCACTTTATCGTCTTTCTTTTGCATGGAACTGTATTAGTTGGAGTAGCAGAGTAGGGTAGAGTAGAGTATTAGGTGAGGAGTAAAATTGGCAGTGGATTTTTCCCCAAAATATTACGCTTTTGTGATTGTAACTCTGATATGATTGGTCAGACTACGTGCTGAGGCATTGTTGAAAAGATTTATCTTTGCTGAAGTTGTTGCTTACCAACTTATTATCTTAAGCTGAAAGCTAAACGGGTACAGGCAGGACAAAAGGCAGCATCGTTCCATATGGAACGAAAACAACCAAAGCATTTGTCAAAGGGTTAATCGTGGTACGTTTTTCGATTAATTTAAGATTAAATGAAATTACAGTACTTTTATCGCAAGGACCTTTTTGATAGTACATACTCAGAAAACGTACCTCAAGCTAAGAGTCAGTTCACTTTCAGTTTAAGGCGATGAATGTCCGCGGTTGGACGTAGGCCTTCCCCATCTGTAAACCTGAAGAAGGCTGGTATGGCCAGCCGAAATATTGTTATAAAAAACAATATACGTTGTTTTAAATCAACTTTGCAGTAGTCTTTGGACTTCTTGTTCTTGGTTCTTTATATTTTGGCTGATTTGATATCTTTTCTAGAGGTCCAACGTTTACAACTAGCAGGATCTTCGTCCACAGTTTTTGCAGCTAATTTAATCCTTCCCCATTGACCTTCTTTGGACCACGTTTTGCGCGACACGGTGCCAGTGTTTTAGGAAACTATCTAAGTCGTCCCTCCATCTCTTCCTTGGTCTTCCCCGGTTCCTTGAGTTTCCCCGGGGCTTCCAGAACGTAATGCGGGATGTCCAACGGTTGTCTGTTCTTCGCGCCACATGAGCAGTCCAATCTCATTTGAGTTTGCTCATTGTTTTCGTGATATCTCATACTTTGGTTTTTTCTCGGATCTATTTAGCTGTTTTACGATCTCGCCATGTTATGTTTTGCCTGATTCTTTCATGGGCTCTCTGCATAGTTCTGAGTTTCAAGGTTTGTTGTTTCGTAAGATTCCAGGTCTCAGATCCGTAGATGACTGTTGGTAAGATGCACTGATCGTAAACTTGGCTTTTAAGGAATGATCGGAATGTCTTTGTACTCGTTCTACCGAAAACTCACCATCCGAGCTTGATACGACGTTTGATCTAATGTTCCTTCGAATCGGAATCCATGGAGATGCATTGACCGGGGAAGATGTAATGATCGACTGTCGATGGTGGTGGGTTCTTCTACGTCCTCAGCGAACTCGTTGTACATAACCTTGGTCTTTTTTAGGTTCATGCTGAGCCCGACTTCAAGGCTAGCTTGGTTGAGTTCGTGTAGCATTTCTTGGAGTTCTTCCATACTGTTGGCAAAAATAATAATGTTATCGGCGAATCGTGGGTGAGTGAGATATTCACTATCGATTTTGATTCCCTTCTTTTCCCATCGTAGTTTGCGAAATACCTTTTCCAAGAATGCAATGAACATTTTGCGAGAACTGGTATCACCTTGTCGTATTCCCCTTCGCCGTCTGAATCATTTGGAGTCTTTGTGGAGTCTGATGTAGGATTTGGCGTACTTGTAGATGTGTTGTAGGACGTTGACGTAGACTGGCTCGACCCCTTGCTCCTTAAGCGCATCTATGACGTTCGGAATCTCGACCGAGTCGAAGGCCTTTTCGTAGTCAACCAGGTCCACGACAAAAGGAAAAGCGCTTACGGAACCCCACTTGTTCTCTTGGTTGATTCCTGTCTAGCGTGCTGGTCAGTTAGTTCGTGATTAATTTGGTGAAAAGTTTGTAGATGTTGTTTAAAAGGATTATAGGACAGTAGTTGGAAATGTTCTTGCGGTCTCCCTTCTTGTATAGCAGAATGATGATCGCTTCATTCCACTCTTCAGGAACCTTGCTTTCCCTGATCAGGTATTCGTTAAATAGGGCCGCTAACCTTGTGTAGATGGTCTCACCCGCCGCTTCGATCAGATCGATGGTGATGTTGTCAGGTCTAGGAGCCTTTCCTTATTTTTATTGCTTGACCGCAAGCTCGACTTCCCACGGTTCAACCTTTGGGAAGTCTGGCAACCCATGTTGCACCTACGGGTCGGGAGGTTCAGGATCTGGGGGGTCCGATGAGTCGAGTCTTTCATAGAATTTTTGTGCTTGGTCAACAATTCGGCCCCTGTCTAATGTCGACGAGCCGTCCTCCTCTAGAACACCTGTAAATTAAAGCTTTCCGCTGCTGAGTTTTTTCCCTTGCCATTTTGAAGCCTTTTCCTTGCTTGATTATTACTTGAATTGATTCCGTTCTGTGCTTTCTGAAATCTTGACGTTGTCTCGTTTTTACGGTTTTTTTTTTTCAGTTCTGCTGCTTCAACTTTTTTCTCGAGCTGACGTTGGTGGTTGGAGATTCTTTCTTTTTTCCATCAGATCTAGGGTTTCTCTGGAGCACTTCTTGGCTATTTTGCGAGGAGTTGCGAACTCTTTGGCTGTCGCTACCAGAGATTTGACGATGTTGTTGAGATTGTTGACGGTGGTTTCATTGATATTTCCGTCCTCCTCTTCAAGAGCGGCATTTCTGTTTTGGAGTTTGATTGTAAATTCCTCGACATAAAATGGTGGTACTCGTAAGTGCTCTGGCGTGTGGTGGAACAAATGGCGCCTTTCTCTTTTGGTGTCTATTTTAACTCTGCATCTTACCTTCCTGTGATCACTGCCGACATTGACCTCGTTCATGGCCTCGACGTTTTTAGCAATTTGGTGTTTATCTGCCATGATATAGTCGATTTCGTTAAACGTTTCGTAGTTTGGTCTCCTTAGGTCGGTTCTTCTTTTCGAAGAAAGTGTTCCTGATCTTAAAGCCGTGGGCAATGGCGAAGTTGACAAGATTCTCGGCTCGGTCATCTCTATCACCATAACCGAGGGCGCCTAGACATTCTTCATCTCCGCCTTCAACCTTTGCGTTAAAGTCGCCCATTGTGATGTTGAAGTGGGCTTTGTTGTTTTGCATGGCTGTGTAGAGGTCGTTCAGAACGTTTCTATTTTGCTAATTCTTTTAGACTACGAAGAGAAGCCGCTGATTTTGGCAATTTTTATCCTGCGTATATTTGCAAGCGCGCGAGAGAAAGTCACCTTCCTTCCTTGTCTACTTGACAATTATTCCTCGAACCCGAATGAGCTATTGACTCAGAGTCCATGAGGGCGAGAGGAATAATTTTTTTAGTAAAATCCAACTAGTTGGTCAAAAATATCGAGATAAAACAACCTTAGCTAGCAAAACGCGATTCAGCCGCCGTTGTTTTGGTTTTCAAAACCGGCGTTTTTCGCTACGAGTGGGCTATAGCATATAGCCTAGTAGTACCTCAACCAATCAGAACGCAGCATTGATAATAGACCACTAGGTTGGATTTTACTAAACTACTTTAACATAGAGAAGGTTGCGATACCTTGTTCGATTTGTCTTTTGCCAACATTTTGATTCTTATTGTTTATTTTGCTAACCGAAAAGAAAAAACTGTATATTATGGTACACTCCTTCCTCCCTATTACGTACGGTCATGTCTCTACAATGACCACTTCCATCTGTCCCCAAGGTGGCCGTCGTGGAGAGGTTCAACTGTATTTCACCCTAACTGGGGTTAAGGAGATTTTCGTTTTGATAATTGTTCCTGTTGTAATTTATGGGTTGGGGAAAGTCTTAAATCCCTGTGACACCCCAGTCATATTGCCATCCGCGATTAAATTTGAAAACTCCCACCCCTTTCCCGCGAACTCAATGTCGTAAAATTTTCCTTCCTCAGGAGGAGTAAATCCAATCCTTTCCCTTGTATTCTCCGGCAAGGCTGGCTTTCCTACTCCTGGGGCAAGCGGATGACATAAGCATAAGCTTAAAAGTTAAGTATAAGTGTACAGTGGGTGATTAAGAACAAGATGTTCCTTTATCTGATTCACATTTTCGGTGGATGAAAAGCGTAGCTCCCGACTAAACACCATGAGGTCACTGTAGTACGCTTGTGTAGTTGTCCCGCCATCTCTCTTTAAGCCAATGTCGTACACGGAATGGCCTGAATTCTTGATGTCCATTGAGTCGCCTGTCACTTTCTTACTCGTATTCATCTCTCCGTTTATGAAAAGCCTTAGAGTACCTTCTGTTCGTCCCCAAGTCATTGCCACGTGACTCCACTTGTTAACTCGGACAGTATCTCTGCAAAAAATAGAGAGGGGATTGATATGTCACGGGTGGCATTTACTTTTTTAGCCTTTTCCTCTCGATTAATTTGACAAGAGTGATTTTGTTACATTTGAATTAATTCAAAATGGGAATCCAAGATGGCGAACTTTTCAACAAAACATCACCATCCGAGAAACTACACTCTAGGTATCTAACTGATGCTGCTGTTTACGTTGACAATTTAAATCCATACTTGTTTTTAATATTCATTAAGTAATGGAAACCAATAAATTTAAATCAACAACGTTTTGTCGACGTCAAATTACTTCAGATCAAAAGTTACACTTGTTTCCCTATTCAACAATTTTTATATGAGGCTGAGGCTGAGAGTGTAATGAAAATCTATGCCAGTTGAAGAGGTCTCATGACTCTCTTCTCATGATACGAGAGCGGAATTCATAATACACTCTAAGCCTGGTTTTCTTATGTCGAGAAAATCCCAGACGATCGGGGATTTTACTGTTTCCAGACCGTCCCTGATTTTGCCGACTAATGAAAACTCGAAATCTAAGATATTCCCGATCGTCAGGGATGGACAGGGACAATTCTGGAGAATCGGGAGCGTTCTATTTTCCCGATACGTCACAGATTTCTGCGATGGTCGTCGATCATTCCCGACAAATGAAAACTCAAATTTGTACCGTCGGGAACGTCTGCGATGGATTTCGCTCATTACCAATCCCCTAAATTGCTGGGCGCCAGCCCCCCTATCACAAATAAACATGGCTTCTCTCGACAATCTGGGACAGACTTCTGGCGATTATCCGATGTATCTGGAATGGTCAGCAAAAACTAACATCCCCGATCGTCTGGGATTTTCCTGACATATGAAAACCAGGCTTTAGTGGCAAGGGCAGATTTAGCGGTGGCTTCCCCCACCCCTCCCCCCCTCACTTTTTCTCTCAAATTTAACAATTCTCGGAAAAATGAATAGTATCAAAAAGCTGGCAAGTTATCCCCCCGCCCTTTTCTAAAGGTTCTGGTTCCGCCCTAGCTGATTAGGTTACTTGCTTACATGAACAGTTCTCCAACTCCAACAACTATGGAATCAAGTTCACTCGCGTACTAAAAAATACTCTCATAAAAGCAGTCATATCAAGGTCAGCGAAATAGGAGTTTACATCAACTTGTTTTCATCCCGGAAAGTGTTTCCCTATGTTCGATTACTCATTGCGTATCGTGGAATACTCCTCGATGATGCTATTAATCATTGATTATTTATTTATTTACCATTTAGTCTTTCACTCAATATTGAGCATTTTAGACCGCTCTAGAAAAAACAAAAAAACAAAGGAAAACAAAACTGACAGAAATAGCGCTTATGAGTGCAAAGTAATAAAAGTGTCAATAAATGTTTGAAATTGCACTTTTAAAAGCAGCCAGTGAATTGGACAATGCTATACCCCTTGGGAGTTTGTTCCATTCTGTAATTGTCCTTGGGTAAAAGGAATACTTGTTCTTATCCCTAATGGCAGTCGGCTGTGTGTAAGAGTACTCTATGGAACGAGTTGTAGATTGGCATCTTTGTGAGAGACAAGTCTGCGATTAATAAAGGCTGGAGATATATTATGAATATGAACATTCGATGCCACTCATCGCAATAATCAGATGGATGAGACGACTATACCGACATACAAAAAGTAATAAAGACACGTGAAAATATCTACCTTGTACACAACACCAGAAAATCTATATCATATTCATTTCTCGCCTGGACACAAATGTGACTGTTCGGTTCAATATACAATCGAAATGACCAAGGAGAAGACCAGTCACCATAAACTGGATATTGTGCACCCGACCTCTTCATTTTGATCCATACGGCGATTGTCAGGTTTGTGCGATGGATGGGAAGAGACGGAGTCTCCGCGCACGTCCCACTACTTCCGTCTAAATACAGAGCTGTTCTTCCATCTTGCTCCTCGTATCTTGCAGATCCCTTTAAGCTGCAAAAGGGCATAAAGACAGTTCACGTTGTCTCACGCGGCTAATTTTCGCGTCACGCAGAGCTCTGCAGGGTAGAGTTCGTACAGTAATTTACGGAACATAACCCATTTAAGTTACTATCCCGACGCGAATACCCTACAAGAGTATACATGCCTTAGCCTGCGCATGCGCAACTTTGCAACAGACCCATCGGATAAAAACGAAGGTTCCAAATGAGTTCTAAGTATCAAAGAACACCTTTTGGTTGCTGTAAGGTTGGTTATATACCGGCAGATACGGCTATCAAGCCTAACAGGTACCTACTTGTCACTTGTGAGATATTTCTAATTCAAAAAATCAAGGTAGGTATTCCATACTCACTAGTAAAAGTGATAAAGGGAACAGCAATGTAAACATTTTTAAAACTACATCAGGGAGGAATCAAACTCGTTCCTCGAGTCCTCGTTATTCTTGACCATGCACTTCGCTATTTTGCACATTTATTTGCTGTTAGTGCACGAATATTAGGGGAAACTTGCTAGTTTCACGTTTTGTGAAGGACGTGAACACAAGAAAATGATTTGAATCTAATCTAAGTACAGTCCTTTAGAATACAACTCCAGAAAAATTGGCGAAAATTTGAGAAATTGAATGAGATGGAATAAGACCAACGAAGTTTGAAACAGCGAGAATTCACATTTTAAATGACGTTTTCTCCACCGTTGCCGACGGTGGTTGTTTAAGTTCCCGAATGAAGGAATCAGGAGGGCATGGAGAACGCTTCATAGCGGAGCTCCACGCGCGCGAAGCGCGCGTGTCGGCGGAACCCCATTGCTAAGGAAATCTACCCATCCCAGAAAATTTGGTAATCTCGTGACCGACCGACCGACCGACCGACCGTCCGTCCGCACCACAGGCATACCAATGTTAACTCTCACACTTTCTAGCTACTTTTGGAGCCCAGGAGAAAGCTGATTGCACATCAATGTTGTCATCAATTGACAGCTGTCAAAACAGGGTATCCGCTGACCACTATCACCTGACCGAATCGCGGGCTCAGGTGTCGACCCATCAAGGTCGAGTATTTTTCGAAGTTATCCGCTGACAATTTACTCGTTTTCAAATGATCGCAGGCTCACGTTTATTTTTGTTTTAAATTCACAACAAATATGTTGTGTTTATGTCAGTATCGCCCCGCACTATTACGATTTTGATTTCAAACTGACCTCAGACGCAAAAATTCAGCCAGTTTTTTTAAAATACAGGCGGGGAAGACCTTTTCTTACCATGGTCACGTGTTGGTCACGCTCCACGTCCAATTTTTATGCTCTGATTGGTTAAAATTTGACAGGTGAGTTCATGCGTAAAATTTATGCAGCATCTTGAAAGTTGTTTACTTTGACAGCTGAAGCTGACAGAGTTTTGAGTCAACTTGTGATGTTTTTAACTGTCTTTTTCCACTGGATGTACAAAATGAAATACAGCTGCTATCAAGAGTGTTCTCTTATTCATGGCTGGTTTGTTTATTGGGTTTTTGGTTGAAAAATGCGTCGCTTGTCAAAGCCGATAATCCGATTTCGGATGGCATCGTTTTTGTTTTTCACCTTGCTGGATGCGTACGAGAATTATAAAGGCTCAAGCGATCCTTGCCTTACTTGATAGCTTTCAGGAGCTGCATCTCGAAATATGGTAAGCCTGAGTAATTATTGTATTTAAATCTAATTTCATGAAGTCCAGCGGCGCAGTTTATGAAGCTAGTTTATGCACGTTTGTATTAAGATTTGACTGAGACACTGATCTGACCTCGTATGAGGTTTGATATAAGCTTAAGCTTACAGAACTTTAAAAAGCCTTTAGTCGATATTAATTCACCTTAAATAGAAAGAAAAAACTTTCCGAAGAATATTTAGTTATAATTTTGGCTGTAGAAAGAAAGCTTTGAACGATTTTCTTTTCGTGAGTTCATCTTTGAAAACAGCCAACACCGGGAAACCGGCGGCTTAAAACATAAACTTTAAGCTTACTAGTAAAGACTTGAGGATTCTTAGACACACTTAAATACTCATTTGTTTTCGTGAATGAAAATTGTTGTCTCTGTAAATGTTCTATCGAATTATTTTTCTTTATTGATTTTTGGTAGTCTCAAAAGTGTAATTTTCATCGCTTTGCCGTTTGTTTTCAGGCGTTCATAAACATCGCTCGCAGGAGTACTCAAAATGCCAAGCGTATCAAACGCTTTTTAAGATTACACATCGTTATAAAACCGTTAATAAAAAATAGACTCAATAAATTCTTTATCACGTTGAAGCGTAACTCTTTTAAAATTTCTTCGCAAATTTGGCGCTTGTCAAAAGTTAGAACCGGCTGGCCGTATAGGTGATTTTGGAAATTTTTTGAACGGTTTCGCTAATTAAAAGTCCACGCGTGCCTCTATGGTCCTGAATATTGAATGAATGCAATTTGTCTTGAAAAATTGTGAAATACTGCATTTTGTACGAGGTCTGTATGATAAAAACAGCGCCTCATAGTACTCTTTCTCCTCAGATGCGTATGTGGTGTATAAAAAAAATAAAAGATTGGTTTGCACGCACCCAGAGTTATTGGCAAGAATTTGTACACTTGTTGAACGCCAAAAATTCGGTCTGATTTGTTTTCCAAGAATTTGTTTTCCACGCCTTATCTACTGTGATCAAGAGCCATCATTGCTCTTAAATGTGACCGAAGACTATTTTTTGGGTGTACATATAAGGCTATATCAACTCGATACAAAATTTGTTTCACTCCAAAATCACTTAGCTTTTCCCTCAAAAGTCACATGAATGTGCCCTTACGTTAACTGATTTGTGGAATACAAAATTATTGTTTGATTTAAGTTATAAATTTATCAATGGGAGCTTCGCTTTTAGCTGTGGCTAAATATATATATTATATTTGTGGACCCAACACTAGTATTGGCGAATTTAACGTGTCAGGCTATCGTGACGTCACGTACATGCCGGTACGGAGTTTACAGTCCAATTTCTTGCAGCAACAGAGATAAACAGTAGAAGAACTAAAGGGGAACGAGTGCTCTGGGAGTGAGATTGTGGAGACCTTTTAGTTTGTTTGAGAACACATAAGGAAAAACTACGAATTTTCCTCATTATTTCATATGTTTTCTTACTTGACTTGACTGTCCGTACCATTGAGCCGCCAGTGAGAAAGGAGACCTAAAAGGAATTATTTCGCAGTCTTAATAACAGAGGGTAGTCCTTAAACTGTGTAAAGCGCGAGTGTAAAATAAATGACAAAAGAAAACAAAGGAACAAAAGATTTAAAAAAGGTGGTGGCGGGCGGTGGTGGAGGGAAAACAATAGAAATGTGATGTTGTTGGAGGAAAATGATCCAAATGTGATGGTGGTTGTGGCATTGGAGCGAAAACAATAGAAAAGATAGGTAGATAGCTGCGGGATGGAAAATGCAGGAATTTAAAATGGTTGCGCTTAAAGACGCCTGGAGAAGGCGATATGCGCGTCTCTAATAGAAGACTGTTCCACTCTTGGATTGATGAAAAGAGAAAGATTTTTTTTGCCTTTCAGTACGAACGAGCGAAGGGTAAGCAGAGATTATTGTCAGAACGGAGACAATAATTAGATCTTTCAGAAACGAAATTAGGAAAAAAATCGCATAAATAAGGCAGGGCTAACTTAAATACCATTTTGTACATCAAAGTAAGTTTGTAAATTTTTCTTCTAACACTAAGTTCGACCCAAGGAAGTTTATTTAATAGCGATACCATGTTTGTACCTTTTACAGCACCGATTACAACCCTTGCGCCCTCTATTTGTAAGCTTTCTAACAAATTACTATCAGATTCAGAACATCCATCACCGTGAACTACATCAGCATACTCTAAGGATGAACGCACCAAGGATTTGAATAAAACTTCAAGTATATAACGGCTCAAATTGTATTTCAGTGGCTTTAGGATGTTCAATTGAATTGTTTTAATATATGCGCTCGCCAAGATAAGTTAGAAGACAAGGTCAAACCAAGATGTTCATGAACTGTCACATCCTCTATAATGCGTTTGTTCAAAATCAAAGGGGGTTGCAAAGGCTTATCTCTTTTTGCCGAAAAAACAATCGATTTAGTCTTAGATTCATTCATAGTCACCAACCACTGGTTAGCCAAGTCTGATATTGATGTCAAGTCATGATTAAGTTTAGAAGCGCAGTCTCTAGCACAGGAAAAAATAACGGATTCCCATTTTTGGATATTTTAGGGTATTTAAAGAATACCCATAAAAATCCCAAATTTGGCAAAGTGAGACAAGTTCCATCCAGGGAATTCCCAACCAAGTTCCCTGATTGGGACTTGTCTCACTCTTCCAAATTTGGGATTTTTGTGGGTATTCTTTAAATACCCTAAAATGTCCAAAAATGGAAGTCCGTTATTTTTTCCTGTGTAGGAGACTGAACTTTTTCCAACAAAAAACAATCATCAGCAAATAAAAAACGGCGAGAAGAGATTGTGACTGGTAGGTCATTAATGTAAATGAGAAACAATAATGGACCTAAGACCGATCCCTGGGGGACACTGGCCTCGATATAACGCCAATCAGAATGTACTTCTTTGACTATCGCTCTTTGTTTACGACAAGAAAGGTAACTTATAAGCCAGTTAAACAAATTCCCCCCAACTCCAATACTTCTTAACTTGCATTGACTATCAGACAGCGATGCAACACTCTATCAAACGCTTTGGATTTATCAAGGAAAACTGCTCTCACCTCACTGCCTTCCTCAAGGGCTTCATAATCTCGTGAACAATAATACAAGTTACATTGCAGTGGAATCCCCTGGACGAAAATCACTTTGAAACTTATAAAAGAAACCAGTCATATTAAAAAAATTAAAAAGGGCTACTTTCTCACAGATCTGAGATAAACATGGCAAAAATGGAACCGGGCGATAAGCAGTCTTCAGTTGACGGTCATCTTTTTTTAAATAACGGCATAACATTTGCAAGTTTCCAAGCACTTGGATATTGACC